ACATTCAGATATGACTCTAGACTTTAGTATCTTTCGAGATGACTCTAGAGTTCTTCAGGATTCACGTCAGTAATTATCGGCCACTTTTGGCGACTCGTCAAGAGATTTGTGTGCCTTAGTAATCAGTCAGAATATTATCACGTGTTCAATAATGTTGAACTTTCTCAATGTTCAGAGGTCGCTCCGTAGGGAACCCGATTACCCGACTCTTACTCAAGCCACAATAGTCGCACAGTTCCGCGACTATCATGTTGAGAAATTCTCCGTGCGGGGAAATCCCCGTATCATGGTCAAGTGGATTCAGAACCTTAGAAAAGGATTAAGTTTAAGAACTCTAGATTCAATTCTAGATTTATTCAAGTCAAGTTAGCAACTTGTCAGAAGATTTGTAAGCATTGTGCTAAACAAATCTTAAGAATCATGTTTCTCAGATATTTTTATCGAGAACTGCCATTTTGTCAATCAATTGGCAGACTTCAGGAAGAAATTCCTTGATTTAATTCGAGGAATAGACTCAAATTTCCTAAATCAGATCCGTAAATCATGTTCAAGGCAAGAATTTTCATGTTAAAGGTTGTTATAACTCTCAAGTTATTGTTAAGGTAACGGTTTCCAGTGTATAAGAGTCAATAGTCCGGGTTACCGTGGAGGCTTGAAATAATAGCCATTCAGCCGGGTATACCATGGAGGCTTGAAGCTGAAACCGGAGCAGTATGATTTCATGTAATAACAACCTTTCAAGTCAGTCATGTCAGATATTTTATCAGGCATGATATTTTAAGTCATGACTTTCAGAGATCAAGATCAGCTAATTACTTTGTACTTGCGGGACCAGTTGATACTGGAGCAGCCCTATACAGTACAGAGTTCAGGTTCACGATTTACAGTTTATGTTCATGATGTAAGGTCGGCGTATAATAGTTGTTCAGCCGGGTTAAATGTGGCGGTCTGAGATACAGACCATTAGTCCAAATTACCCGGAAACTTGAAGTCGTACCTTATCAAGTCAAGTAAGTCAGTAAATATCACGTTTTCAATCTCGAAGCGACTATTTAAGTTGTCTCGGGATAGTTTTCAGAGTTCGAACAAAGATGATTGAGTCATGTGAGAGTCAAGTCATGGTTATTCAGTCGTGAGAGTATTCAGGCCAGTCATGTTAAGATCGAGGATAGTTTGTCTAATAAGACAAGACTTATCCATCATTTTCAGTATGTCAGCGCCCCGATTCTCAAATTCTGATGAATCTGAGAAACCGTGGGAGATATTCATTCATGATGGACTTCTTCTTGAGGTTAAGTTTAACCTCGGAGGGAGTAAAAAGTTGCAGGTACCACAGGTTGACATACGCCGCGACGAAGAAGGACCAATCGACGACAACAGATCGTGCCATAATGATAAACCGACGCTTTCCATTCAAAGATGCCATGCTTGAGTCTCAGTACACTGGGAGATTACAGAGAGTTAGTATTAAAAAGTACATTGAGGTTAGTAGCTTGAGGTATAGATACGATCAGATTACGTCGATGACGCATGTGCAATGTTCGCCAAGTGTTGTATGCAGGCGTGCCGCACTCACTTGATGAGGAGCAGGTGTGCCGCAATACAATGTGCCGCGAACGATGTACCGCGTTGTCGAGCAGACATTCATGAAAGGTAAGGACCAATATAGCTAGTTATCCTCATTTTTGCATATGTGTATCTCTGGAATCTTCCGTGTGTACCTGCGACAGGAGTCTTCATCACCAGAATTCAGATTGGAGATTAGCCAACAGCCAAAAGATGATGACCAATACATTTAAGAGTTTTGTTTTGAGATCATGTCTTATCAGTGGAACACTTTCTTTTAGAAAAGTGTCCATTTTCAGTCAGCAGTATTCTACTATTCACTTAATTGTGAATTGATGTATCATCAGTTCAGATCAAGTTTCTTATTCAGTATTAAATTACTGGATTCTCAAGTCATGTAATCAGTAAGTATAAGCTTTAAGTTAAGCTTGTGTAACGCCCCACTTTTATTTACCGAAAATCAGAATAAATTTTTTTTTTTTGAATTTATTTCAGAACACTTTGAGGCGCTACTCATTTTCGAAACA